TTCTTCAACACCTCTAGTTTTTACTTTCTAAACTTATCTCATTGAATCATACTTCGTGAATAATATCTTCTAATTCTAACCTCTCCGATTACTTCTAATACCTTTACGACCTCTTCTACTATTGGATTTGAATTGACAATTATATCTCTGTGCTGATGTGGTATGGCGACATGAACTGATGTACTTACGTACGAAGTTCTATGTTGCAACTGACTGACTGACTATCTTATTATTACAATCTGTTAAGAGCAGTGTTGTTTATTAGTCATGTGTTTGCCAAATAATTATAGTGTTTAAATAGTTTACTCATGTATTATCTGTTGTTTGTTTTTTAAAAAAAATACTTGTCACCTTTCTTATTTCGTGATTGATTCTAAGTATACTGACTTCAATTGATCGATTTGTAGTCACTCTGATTGTTTAATCGAAGTTTTTATCAAGTGTCATTGCGTCTAGTGAGTGTTTTCAATCAATATGATGATTAAAAAAGAAATCTTGCGAATTTTTATTTATAATTCGCTATATGAAACAGCTAGTTATAATTTAAAGGAAGTGGTTGTTGTTGCTGTTGGACTGATCAGTGATCAATCAAGTCAGTAATCGTTTCAAGTAAGATTTTTAATCTACCCTTATCATTATCTAGAAATGTTATTCAAACCAATGTTCATAGCATGCAAGGCAATATTCATTCAACATAGACAACCAGACATCAATGATTGATTGAATTAAGGTTTCAAACTTCTTGTTATCCATTTTATTAGATTTCTATTCAAAGTTATTGATTTATTGGTTCAGATATCTTTTTGGTCTGTTTTTTTGTTGAAAAAAAACACATCAGAATTGCACAAATCCTACACTACTGAAACTGATATTACATCATACAAAGAAAATAGACAACAAAATCTTCTTAAAATATGGCGATATGATCTATTGACTCATTGGAAATCAGGTTATCCATCTAAACATGTAAGACAATACTTTTGGGAAGGTATACCTTCAGCTATACGTGGTCAGGTAAGTTAAGGCAATACTTTGAATCTGTTAATGAAATATGTACATATATTGTTTGTTTAGAATTAGGTGTAATTTTAGTGATTTTGCAATCTGTAACATTTTATTGAGATACTACATTTTAACAGTTAAACCCTTAAAACATATAATTAATCGTGATTAAGTGAACATTTAGAGATCAGTGTGTTCAGTTACTAATCATGTCTGTTGTACGGTTAAAGACAGTATTAAGTAGTTTGAATTTCTGTAAATAGATCAAGCTTCAAATTTGTAATCCCACAGTCATTGATATTTGAGTGTTTAAACGGATTGTTTACAACGTTACTATTCAATTAGAAGTGTTGGTAGGTTTAGTCGATTGTTTACGATTGTGTTAACGAGAATATTATTACATATTACTTACTTAATTACGCCTGTTATCCCCAATGGAGCATAGGCCGCCCACCAGTTTTCTCTAATCAACTCTGTCCTGGGCTACCCTTTCCAGTTCTGTCCAATGTTTGTTCATTCCCCTCATCTTTCTCTATTTCTCGGCGTAATGTGTTCCTTGACCTTCCTCTTTTCCTTTAACCTTGTGGGTTCCATGTAAGGGCTTGTCGTTGTTGCTGATGTTGCTGATGGTGTCTGGCCAACGAATCCGAAGTATTTTTCGTAGACAACTGTTAATAAACGCTTGTATCTTCTGGATGACGCCTTTCGTAGTTCTCCAAGTTTCCGCTCCATACAATAGAACTGTCTTCACATTTGTATTGAAAATCCTGATTTTGGTTTTGGTCGAAAGTTGTTTGGAGTTCCAGATATTTTTCAACTGTAGAAATGCAGCCCTTGCTTTGCCGATCCGCGCCCTCACATCTGCATCGGATCCACCTTGGTTTTCGATGATGCTACCCAGATATGTAAAGGTGTTAACGTCCTCCAAGGCATCTCCATCAAGAGTGATTCGGTTGGTGCATGTTGTGTTGCATCGGAGAATTTTGCTTTTTCCTTTATGTATGTTGAGACCTACTGCTGCTACACTTATCGTCTTCTCTTGCATTTGTTGTTAGGATTATTACATATATATTAGTTCAAATTGTGGTATGGTTTTTGGGGGATTAGCTGTGCGAATTAAATTGACCGAAAAATACTAGGCAATAAAAGTGGTCCGAATCATATAACTAGATATCTAAACAGGTTCAATGAATCAATCACTTTGACAGTATTAACTTTATTACCCAACTTCCTGTTCAATAAAGGGTAATTTAAAATTTAAACATTAGTTTCATTTTCTTTGTCCGCCTGTACAAATTTAGATTACACAATTCTTCCATTTTTAGTTCCTTAATTAACTTTCTTACGCCTGTTACTGCTTGTGCAGTATGGGCCCACTGATCAACAATCTCCAGCCAACTGTGTCCTCAGCTGTTAATTCTATTTGTTTCTAAGTGCTACTCATTATTTTCCTGTCTGTCTCAAGTTTCTGGCATTGTGTTCTTTGATCTTCCTCTGTTTCTGTTTCATTGAGGATACTTCGTTAAGGATTGTCTTGTGATGCAGTTGGTTGGTTTCTTCATTGTGTATTTAAACCACTTCTAGTATCTTTTCCCAACTTTGTCCTCAGTTGGGAGCCAGTTTCTTCGTACCCAAAGTAGGTTGTTACTGATAGTATCTGGCCAACGGGTCCTTAGTATCCTGCGTAGAAAACTGTTTATAAATCCATGTAACTTTTTTGAAATGTTAGTTTCAGTATTTATCCAAGTTTAAGCTCAATACACTAAAACTGTCTTGACATTTGTACTGGAATTTCTGACTGTAGTGTTGGTTGACAGTTGCTGTCTCGACACTCCCGTTTTATCCGAGCTTTGTACAAGAACTCTAGAAAGGCTCAAGGCGAAGTCATCCATTAATTTGCAACCTATATATCTTGGTTTGGGATTGTAACTTTGCTTAGTAATTTCGTATTGATTCTCCCCAATCAAAGCAGTTGGATTCTTCGAAGCGAAGTACAGACAGACAGATTGATACAACGCAGAACTTCGTACGTAAGTACATCAGTTCAGGTTGCTATACCACATCAGCACAGAGACGTAACTGTCAGTTCAAATCCAAGAGTGATAGCGATAATAGAAGTATTAGCAGTAATGGAGAAGACTAGGGTTTGAAGGTATTATTCAAGAAGTATAATTTAGTGAGATAAGTTTAGAAAAACAAAGGTAGAGGTGCTGACGAATGAATCCAGAAGAATAGGATTTGAGAGAGCACAACGAATGGATGCACTTGCGCCATTGCAAACGATTTTGAGCCATGTCATACAGGGTCTCCAGCTATCGATTACTATCATCTCGCTGGTCCCACCCAGGTAGTCGACACCTACCAACAAGACTCAGTCCACTTGTCTTTAACTTCATGAGTTTATGCTATGCACGGTTTGGCCGCCCCTAGCTTTCTTCCAACCTATTCCTACATCACAAAGCATAGCTCAACGAGGCAGTCACTGTTTAGGCATACGTAACACATGCCCTAACCACCTCAACTGATGCAGTTTCAATATACTGTTCTATATAAATTATCTCAAGCTAATCATATTGTTTTTACATTCGATTAAATGAATAATATAAACTTATAAGAATGCATTTTAATATTTCCAGTTAATTCTAATCTACTTATTTGTACATTCAAAGTCAATCAGTAATCCACTAACTAACTCTATATAGTTTATATTCTAAAAACAAAATAACCATCTTCTTTTTAATTACATATTTATTTTGAAAATAAATACCATCTTGGATTTATTTTGTTTATGTCTTCGTAATAATAGTGTGTGCTCTAATGTTTGTTTTTTTTTTAAAATCTAAATCAAGATAGTCAACTTAGTCAACATTGAGTTGATTATTTACTTAATTGTTTTTTTCTCAAAAAAATTGCACTTTGCTATCGAATGATCATAAAATGTAACTTTGTATTAAGCAAAATGTGATTTGATTTTATTTTATTTTTTCTTTAATTAGTGCGTGTAGGAAGGTGTATGTAGATGATTTTTTTTTAATTATTTATAGATATATATTAACATGATATTCGATTAATGTTTTGAATTATGTAATTGTTTAATGTGTCGGAGCATCAAGCAAACATACATATTATTACCATTGTTAGTAGATGACTATGTTTCTTATTGGCTCAGTTTATAAATATTTTCGATTCTAGTTCATGCAGTACTTATTGATGAATATATACTGCTTTGAAATTTTACTAATGTAAAAAAGTCACACGACTTTGTCACGTATAGTTTGTTATGTTATCATAATGTGTAATATTCTTAAATTAACTGATTATTAAAGTGTGGACGTAATAAACGTCATTCTCGTACTCTAAACAGTACCAAATGAATACTCTATAGATTTCAGCACATGCACACATGGTCGAATACATACCCATTGGTCACCCCCGAACTATCTTTCAAAAAAAGTCTATAGATGCTCAGAAACACCAGAATACGTTCCATCCAACCGGAATTGCATTGAACTGTAACGTAAATATCTGAGAAATACCGCAACACTTGACACGTTTCTGATTGAATATTTAACCATATCGCTACCATATTTAGTATGGTTCTGGAACCTTGAAGAGGCCCAGGGTCATGAATGACTCTAAGAATACCGTCATTTTTCTGTACATAAATTAACCTTGGAGTAAAGCGTTCTTCTCGTACTTCGCACCTTTTCTATTATGTTCAAGTTGTAGTATAGATTTAGTGTGGGGTTATTAAAACGACTGCCGCGACGAGCAATGTTTTGTGGTCATATACTACTTATAAGTAGCGCGCACCATACTACCAATATGTGAATAACTGGCTGTTTATAGCAGAGATTTTAACGTGTTATGGTATGGGATTCATTATACGGTTTTTGTTTGTGGTAGTGTTCTATGTACTTCAGAATGATTTCATCCAATAATACTTCTTCCACTTATATACTGGGGTGTTTGTTTTTCCGCATTTTGTTTTAAAAAAGGTTTGGTCTTTACTACTTGGTAATCAATTGGGAATAACTCAAGAATTATTCGATACTTGTCTTAGTCAAAGTAAACACCATATTGAAACAAATATCATTCAATATTCTGGTAACATTCAATACGACATAAGAAATTCTAATCCAAGTGTATATCAGTCATTATTTAATTTAAGCAACATTGAAAATGATTTATTTCATTGTGTTGTATGCAATTTTATATTCAATAAATTAAATACAATGCCAATTAAACGTGAATTTACACATGCTCCTATTGTTATTGGTAATTTGACAAATTCCCGTCAACATTATACAAACAGTTCTATTGAAAGACAAGAAGAAGACGAAGAAAAAGAAGGAGCGGTTAATTCAACAAACTCTTTCAAAATAGATCCATTAGATTTTGAACAATCGAATTGTGCAGGTAGTTTGGTCTTTGTACTTGTGTTATTACTTTTATGTACTACTATGAAAGGTTTGACAAATGAATTAAACTTTGGTATCTATTATTGAATAGTAATAATGTAACAGATTAGGGGATTGATACAATTTTGTAAGATAATGGTAACTTTTATGTGAGTTACTGTCTAGATAGATGCTGAAGCAATGAATTATTTGCAGTATTGGTACTTATTAGGATATTCATCAAATATCCTAAGAGAATTATTTTTGTAAGTCTAATTCTATTGGTCAATTCCTATTGGTCGTCCTAACTGTCAATGTCACAGACTTCAATGTTGTTTCCTATTCGACCTAACTGTATAAATACGCATTATCTGTAACGTTTTATGACCCGGATCCCTAGTCCGGGATCCTGATTGTCTTCTGGACTCGGACCTCGTACTTTCTAGATGCTTGTAGAATACACGTTCTACTTCATATCAAGTCTTCTTCTTTTTACTCAATGGGAGGTTTGGTATGCTTGGATTAGAGTAGCATGTCGTGTCACCGGATCCTCGATCCTCGCTCTCGTTTCCCAACTAAGGTAAAATCGTAATAGTCCAAGCATATCAATTGACGTGTTTACGTGCATGCGTAACGGTACTATATATTTTTTTACACATGGACTTGAACAATGTGTGGTTATGAAGCATTAATTCTTTGTAAAGTGACATCCCGCTGATGTATGGACAGTGTATCCATCCATATTTTCGGGAGCTATATGTTCATTTTAGTAGTGTAGTTTATTATCACATGTTTACAATGTCTGTACATTTAAACTGATTGCATTATATATCTCATTGCCTAATGAATTCAACAAATTGTTTCCTTGCATGCATTTATTTTTAATTAGTTTTCATTGTAATTAATTTGTTTACTGACCTCACTTTATTTTATCGCATTTAATTATACATTATTTGTAGAATATCAGTTGTTTCATTTGAAAGTTAATTGTTTTTTTCTCACATTTTCACAATTACTTGATATTCCATTATCATATGTTAAATTTTGTAATTCCATCACATTCTTTCATTTTCATTTGTGTATGCAAATGAAGCCCCCCCCCCAAATGCCTTGGTATGATCGAGAGTGAAGAAAGTTCACCATCCCTCTCAAAAATATTCTCATATAACCACACATATGTTGCCACTCACTGCCTTCTCGTGGCGGAAGTGTTCTTTATGAATTCGAGAGGACGAAAAGCGAATGTCTGGTTGGTGAGTACGAAGGATCCGCCTACTGAGCTTGGAGAACCCTGATCCCAAACCAATAGTGGACATAAGCTCCAAGTCCCTGACGAACCGAATTGCGTCTGTACTTAATTTTTGTCACCGGCTACCACGAGACTGCTTCTCCTAACGGTGCTCTATTGTACTGTCCTGTGGATTAAACCCAGTGTGTGGCCTTATAAGAAAACCATCTTCGGTTTAGGCGTCCGGCAAGCTTCCGAGTCCATATACATTCAATGATCCTACCGTAGCTGCTACCTTGACGTGGTGGTCGGGCTTGACTATCGTGATGATCCAACCGAGCTATACTGGCTGGAACATATGTTCCTGAAGGTTCTACCATGCCAGGCAGGTCGATTGGCGAAAGATGAGACTAAAAGCAGCTACCCAAGGTCTGAGGGCGAAGTCGTACTGCTGATTGCAGAGGGGTGTGACATCAGTAAGGTGTTTCCCTCGGACAACCAGCATCTGCAGCGATGCTGCCTTCTCACAAGGAAGGAAGGGTTAGAAAAGGTCGACCCTAAAAATGTCACACCTCACCCTACCTCAAGGATATCCGTCTCCGGCTTTTAAGAGCAGAACTAATCCTCAAAAAACGTTTCATAAAAAGGCCGTGCGTGACCGGCCTCAAGCAGTTGTCCCTTGGACTCTGCGGTCACGCTCCCAGGTCTCTAAGACCAACACTAATCTGTCTTCCTTTTTGGGTCCCTCAAGAAACACCCACGATGTGGGCATCCGGGAACTGACAACCGCTCTCATACCCGTAACAGCACACGAGACCAAATTGGTCGAAATCAAATCCTTCCTACATTCAATGATTTATGGTGGCACCTAAATATTTAGGTACCCCTTCATACCAATATTTATGTGTTGAAATAAACAAATGAATAAATGCATATGAAGTTAAGACGATTAAAGGAAAATGTAGTGATTACATTATTCTGTAACTTAATAGATAACTCTCAGTCTTTTACTATAATCATGTTGGAATGAGAATATGACATTTTGTAGATGAAGGTTCAGATATCCATCTAGATTGATTATCCAATTACTAGAAAAGACAAATATTGTCGACCATATATAGCATCTGTTACTCCAAACAGATATCAATCAACACCAAAATAAGGATTTTCAATACAAATGTGAAGACAGTTCTAATGTATGGAGCAGAAACATGGAGAACTACGAAAGCCATCATCCAGAAGATACAAGTGTTTATTAACAGCTGTCTACGCAAAATACTTCGTATTGGTTGGCCAGACACCATCAGCAACAACGAACTGTGGGAGAGAACAAACCAGATTCCAGTGGAGGAGGAAATCCAGAAGAAGCGGTGGAAGTGGATAGGACACACACTACGAAAAGCACCTAACTGCGTCACAAGACAAGCCCCCACATGGAACCCTCAAGGCAAAAGGAAAAGAGGAAGGCCAAGGAACACATTACGCCGAGAGATGGAGAAAGATATGAGAGGAATGAACAAACATTGGACAGAACTGGAGAGGGAAGCCCAGGACAGAGTTGGTTGGAGAAAACTGGTGGGCGGCCTATGCTCCATTGGGGGTAACAGGCGTAAGTAAAGTAAAGTAATATATAGCATCTATTTTGGCATATCCCTGATAATCAGTTTCATAACTAACAGCGATGAATATCAGCAAATTTCGTTTTATGACTTGCT